GCACTTTGAGGGTTTTGACTCTGCAGACCGTTTACATGCAGAACAACCTTCATAACACAAGGGGACGGGTAATAACAGAAAAGCATGACATGGGACCTTTAAAGTAAGCATGTTGAGTAGTGTTAATTTCGTTGACTAAATCTATGACGAAATATGTTCGTCAACGACCTTTTTTTCCATGACGAAAACGAGACGATGACGAGACGGCACCGACGGTAGTAAACAATAACTGTAACGAAATCATCATGCAATATCGTTGACGAAAAGTGACGAGACGAAAATGTAGTTCACTAAATAAAAACTAGGCCAAAATCTCTCTTTACTTTCGTTGAGGAAAAATGAGGAGACGAAATATTATCAAAGATAACGTTACATCTCTGATAGTCAGTTTTTCTCCCAGCAGTTCCATTTCCGGCGCTGCGGCAGGGCAGCAGCTGTGTGTCCGTGCTGCGGCTGGGCAGCAGCTGTGTGTCCGTGCTGCGGCTGGGCAGCAGCTGTCTGTCTGCGGTGCGCGCGGCGGTAGATTTGAATTACACCGGGCAGCGGCACACTGTGAACTGTCAGGAAGACTCGGGTCTAACTCATGGTCTCTAACTAACCTTATTTAACAGAAAATGAAATGGCAACAGGGCTTGGGAGCAGTGGTCGCACTCGCGTTAACCGAATACCCCCCCGTCAGCGCGAGTGATTGATAAATTGTGCACTCGACGGATAATAATGGATTATGACGGAAATGTTACGATCCGTCAAAATTACTGACAACGAAAAAGTCTAAAGCCACCACTGCTTGGGAGAAAGAAACGATGTGATATTTGGGCCCATTTTCGCTACAATGAGGCGGAGAAAAAAAGCGAATGCATTGTTTTAATCAGAAGGGAAGCAATGTGGCCAAAACACAAAAACACCACAAACCTGAGCAGATACTCTCTGCAAAGCTGCTTAATCATTCAACCTGTTTTTCATCAAATAAGGACAAGATATAATCTTATTTATTTATATATACTAAAATTGACAAATTATTGGTTTTGGCTAGACTAGTTTGACTGAAATGTTCTATATAATCTGATAACTAAAAAATACTCAACAGTTTTTATTGACAAAAAGTAGACTAAAATAATTAGTTTTCTTTGACTAAAATAAGACTAAAATGCTCAGACTTTTAGTCGACTAAAACTTGACTAAATAAAAACAGGATGAAGGTGACTAAATATGACTAAAACTAAAAAGGAAATTTAACAAAGGACTAAGACTAAAACTAAATTAAAAAATAGCTGACGAAATTAACACTAATGTTGAGAACACGGATTGCGAATATATACGGGTCGTGTCCCCAACGCACAAACTGATCCTGCTGTAACAACAAGTGCACGTTACTGATGCAATATGGATTAGACCATTCGGGGTTATGCTAGAAGAGGGGTGCAAGGAATAGTCCAAGTAGTGGGGAGTTTTATTCACTAAAGGTGTGGACATTTTCTGGCGTTATAATATCAGCGCGGCCGCGGTCAGATCAAAATGCCTCCGAATGCAATCTGAATAGACCTACAGCCAATCAGAGCTACGAAACGTTGGGTCTGCGTCATGCCTTACTGATTGAGATCAATCGGAACTGCCATTCAGTATCCCCATTGGATCTTCAACGTGTACTATCACACGTTCACAGGGATCCCTTCTTATTTACTACAAGACAAATGTGGCGTTTTATTTCATACAGTTCAGTTCTGATTGAGACAGGGAAATAATCTAAACCTCACGCGTGGCGTTTCACTCTCAAGGGGGGCGATATAGCGCTGTATGGGTTAGCCCTACCATAGACTACCCAACACAAATACTCTGGCGCCGCCGCTGCTGAAGTTAAGCAGGTATACAATGTGTAATAAAACGGATTAAATGCAGTCCTGTCAATAGACCTAATGTTAACCTACTGGTGGTACATTTCATGTCTTTATGAAACCCAATCTATGTAATCTATATCTACATCAAAGCCTAGTAGCACTCTCGCTACTAGAACTTGACTTGGCGTGTAACATCAGTGGAAATCGTCCTTTAAAGTGATCAGGGGATCTATTTGATATATATTAGATGTGACAATAATTAGATAGTTTGTCTACACACATGCCATATTCCCCAGAAGTGCATCAGACCACTTTGAATCAACAATAAGCATGTTGTGTGTGGAGGAAATGGCTTTTCGAGGAGCATCGCTGGCTTCCTTACAAGAGCAACACAAAGCAGAGACAGCAGACCAACGTGTGAACCTGCAGGAACAATGAGGAGATTTAGCAGCGAGGGACAAACAAACTTCCTCAACTCGGTTGTGGCCGTGCGGAGCGTCTGTGGAGGAAAGGAATCCTCCCTCAGACCTCAGTGTCAGGCTCTTGGATGATGACGATGCGATGTGTGTACTTATTGCAGGAAGACTGAGAGTTTTCTGCAGAGGTTCGACAGGTCGGTGCCGAGTTCCCTGGTGTCAGGCGGTGCTGCACACACTCCATCTCAGGTAAGGAAGCAACTAAATGATGTGTGTGTGGGGCACGAGGGTCATCAGTGTCATCATCCTCATCATCATCCTCATCATCATCATCCTCACTTATTCACAAGTTTAATAAAAATAGTACAATCAGGAGACATAATGGAGACATGTGAAAGAGGACACCCCAATAAGCTATAGGCAGAGGTGGTAGAAGTACTCAGACCTTGTACTTGAGTAAAGTAGAAGTACTCAGACCTTGTACTTGAGTAAAAGTACTCAGATATTGTACTTGAGTAAAAGTATAAGTACTCAGATATTGTACTTGAGTAAAAGTACTCAGATATTGTACTTGAGTAAAAGTACTCAGATATTGTACTTGAGTAAAAGTAGAAGTACTCAGATATTGTACTTGAGTAAAAGTACTCAGATATTGTACTTGAGTAAAAGTAGAAGTACTCAGACCTTGTACTTGAGTAAAAGTACTCAGATATTGTACTTGAGTAAAAGTAGAAGTACTCAGATATTGTACTTGAGTAAAAGTAGAAGTACTCAGATATTGTACTTGAGTAAAAGTACTCAGATATTGTACTTGAGTTAAAGTAGAAGTACTCAGACCTTGTACTTGAGTAAAAGTAAAAGTACTCAGATCTTGTACTTGAGTAAAAGTAGAAGTACTCAGATCTTGTACTTGAGTAAAAGTAGAAGTACTCAGATCTTGTACTTGAGTAAAAGTAGAAGTACTCAGACCTTGTACTTGAGTAAAAGTAGAAGTACTCAGATCTTGTTCTTGAGTAAAAGTAGAAGTACTCAGATCTTGTTCTTGAGTAAAAGTAGAAGTACTCAGATCTTGTACTTGAGTAAAAGTAGAAGTACTCAGACCTTGTACTTGAGTTAAAGTAGTAGTAATCAGACCTTGTACTTGAGTAAAAGTAAAAGTACTCAGATCTTGTACTTGAGTAAAAGTAGAAGTACTCAGATCTTGTACTTGAGTAAAAGTAGAAGTACTCAGATCTTGTACTTGAGTAAAAGTAAAAGTACTCAGATCTTGTACTTGAGTAAAAGTAGAAGTACTCAGACCTTGTACTTGAGTAAAAGTAAAAGTACTCAGATCTTGTCCTTGAGTGAAAGTAGAAGTACTCAGATCTTGTACTTGAGTAAAAGTAGAAGTACCAGAGTGTAGGAATACTCTGTTACAGTAAAAGTCCTGCATTCAAAATGTTCCTCAAGTAAAAGTAGAAAAGTATTCTCATCAAAATATAGTGAAAGTAGCGACAGTGAAAGTAGTCGTTGTGCAGATTGTGCAAATATCAAGTATTTCCACAATATATTGTTAATACATATGGAATTGAGAGCGTTCACGTATTATTCTGAAGCATTACAACCCAAACACATTTCCCTCATGCATTTCAGAGGAAAGTGAACTTGTGTAGGAGTTCACACTCATTCAGCGTATTCAACCTCAGACTTAATAGCTTAACAAGTGTTATTGGAAGTGCTTTTTAAAGAGAGACAATGTGAAGAGCTTTCTTTAGAGTTATCAATCTCACTCCACATTTCGGCAGACCACACTAGAGCTTTTTGTTTTGTATTCCTACTTTCATTATGCGAGGGTAAATGAGTTTGGATAAGGTCACACAGTCTGTCACTTAGCATATTTTCTACATTAAACAGGCATTGTGAAAGATATTACACTCTCTGGGTCCCAGGGTTCAGTATTGAGCTGTGGCTGTGGGGTCGGAGGCCGAAGCCCTGCGGTCATTCACACCATTACTCTGTGGGCTGAATAAATACTGAGAATCTTCATCCTCATGGGCAGCGCTGGCATTACGTGGTGTCTCCTGCAGGGGGTGAGGAGTCAGATCCCCCTGCGATGTTCCCCTGATCAGAGCCGGGGCACACATGGTGGAGTAAAAGGGAAGTGTGGATACCAGTGTAACTGTTGGAGACTGTGGCTCAGTGGGATAGTGTGTTGATGTTCTGATCAGGGGAGCACTGGTTCAATCCCCACTGCAGTCAGCATGTCGTTGGGCAAGACACTTCACCCCATATTGCTCCTGTGGGGATTGTCCACAGTATGGATGCTTTGTAAGTCACTTTGAATAAAAGCGTCTAACAAGTGGCATGTAACATTTCTCTGTAACGCAGTTATGTAACGCTTCACTGTTAGTTACATTACATAACTTCTAAGAACAGAATGATCTTGTTACTTACTTTAAGGTCTTTGCATAACGGTAGGACAGAAAACATTAATAAAATGTCCCTTTTTACTCGCGAGTTCATCGATGAGGAGACAGCGTAACAATGTCAGAGTCTCATAGAGATAAACAGGCTTGTTGTAAATATCGTGCTGCCCGTTTTCTCAATACATATTGATCAAGATACAGGTGACGCAGGAACACTTTAGCAAGCTACCTGGAGCAGAGTTATGATGGAAACACATCTGATGTTCTAAATAAAGAAAACAGGTCTGTGTGCAGTGCTAATGCATGATGACGTTACGCTGGTGAACACCCAGAGGAACAGGGCGACTGCTCTCCTCTGTCTTGCCTTGAGTTGTCTGTCTGCTGCTTTCGCTGCCTTTTGTTTTCTCTGCTTCCTTTTTCCAGCCTCTCTTCCTCTCCTCTCTGTTAGTGTTCCTGGGAGGGAAGGAGGGGGGAGGCGGAGTTCAAGGGACTTCCCAGAGTTCACGCTGAGCAGAGACACAACACGACTCGTGAGGAGTGTGCAGAAGAGTAGAATAACCTGAGTAAAAGTACCTGGAGGAAACCCAAAGTCCTCAGCAGCCAACCAGCAGCCCTGTCAGTCAAACTGAGTCTTCCTGATCAACCGTCTTTTTCTTGGCTGCTTCTTAAAAACATATATCACAATTATTCTTAGGAACCAGAGGATTATTGGAGAGTGTTGACAGCTTCTGTCAGAGAGTCTCACACCCAGAACATTTAATAACATTTCTTCACCCTGCCTGGTGTCTATCAGCAGTGAAGGAAGTGCTCTGGGGCCTCGTTTATAAAGGGATGGCGTACGCCAGTTTCTACGCAATGTTTGCGATTTATAAAATACTAACTTGAGGGGAAAACGTGCGGTCCTCCACGCAAACTGTAACCCATGCGTACGCACTAAGCACAACAACGGGAGAGACGAGAAACTGCGACACCGCGTTGGCAGAAGGAAGAATGGAGAGAAATATGTGGAAATAATACCATAAATAAAATGTTACCTCTCATTTATCAAATATGAAGAATTCATTTTCAAACATTGATTAAAGCCAATCTTAAAATGATTAAACACACGCCTGTTTGCGACTCCTCAGTGCACACAAACACATAACTTGGAGAAATAAATAAATACGGATATGTTATTTAAAACCACCTTGAATATGTTGTGTTAATGTTATGAAATGTTTTCTCATAAATGATGCGGTTTTGCATTTCTATAGGTTGTACGAGCATGGTTTTATATACTACCATGTTTAAATCGAGTTTTATGCCGTTTGCTAAGACTTGATAAGTCGCTCATAAAACACAGGAGGTATGGAAACTAAGAACACCATGTGGTAAATTGTACAGCTGATACAACACAACACATTAGTTGTATTTCCTCTAACTGGTGGATATAGAGTTGCTGCAGTGGAGACGCTGCGCACAGCTGATCGACAGCTGGGACACAAACTACCAAATACGAAAACATAATTCAGATCCAGTCGTCATGACTCCACTCCGGAGGGATTCCCCGATCATTTCTTACAGTCTCTCATCAAGGGGGGGGGGGGGTCTCCTGTCCCCGGTACAAACACACTGCCTGAGGAAGGCTATGTGTATTGTTTTTGTCATTAACCTTTTTCGGGCCATTTATTTATTTATTTTGGTGACAATCCGACCTCCATGCTGCTACTCTGGTTCAAACTGCATCCACCAAACAATATGATTTATCTCGACCTCCCCAAAATAACCCACATCTGACGCGGTGTGAGATGTCTTTTTTAGCTGTTCTGTCGTCATTTCCTGCGATCTTCATGCAGTCAGTCAGAATGAATGGGCGTTTCTTTGACCATTTATAGGCAAATATGGGCGTTACGTGAACCCCGCAAAAGCTGCACCGCATTTCAAGTCGATTGTGATTTATAAAGGGAAACCGGCGTAGGAAGTGCTGTATGCACTTTCCTCGCCGGTACGCAATGTTTGGTGAATCGGAAAATTTCTGTACCTATTTTTTGGATTTCTACTACGTAAGCAACCTTCCCACGTGAATCCTACGCACGGCGTTATAAATGAGGCCCCAGATCTGTCACTTAAGAAAAAGTACAAATGCTATGGTCTTAAAGTACTCAATCATAAGTAAAAGTCCTGATTTCAAGATGTCACTTAAGTAAAAGTACAAATACTATGGTCTTAAAGTACTCCATCATAAGTAAAAGTCCTGATTTCAAGATGTCACTTAAGTAAAAGTACAAATACTATGGTCTTAAAGTACTCCATCATAAGTAAAAGTCCTGAGTTCAAGATGTCACTTAAGTAAAAGTACAAATACTATGGTCTTAAAGTACTCCATCATAAGTAAAAGTCCTGAGTTCAAGATGTCACTTAAGTAAAAGTACAAATACTATGGTCTTAAAGTACTCCATCATAAGTAAAAGTCCTGATTTCAAGATGTCACTTAAGTAAAAGTACAAATACTATGGTCTTAAAGTACTCCATCATAAGTAAAAGTCCTGATTTCAAGATGTCACTTAAGTAAAAGTACAAATACTATGGTCTTAAAGTACTCCATCATAAGTAAAAGTCCTGAGTTCAAGATGTCACTTAAGTAAAAGTACAAATACTATGGTCTTAAAGTACTCCATCATAAGTAAAAGTCCATGTCACTTAAGTAAAAGTACAAATGCTATGGTCTTAAAGTACTCCATCATAAGTAAAAGTCCATGTCACTTAAGTAAAAGTACAAATACTATGGTCTTAAAGTACTCCATCATAAGTAAAAGTCCTGATTTCAAGATGTCACTTAAGTAAAAGTACAAATACTATGGTCTT